AGCTTAATGCTTCGTGTCATAAATGCAGACATATAACCTTTCTTAGCTTCCTCTGTTCCAATACTCTTTAACTATCAATCATCCTTGGAATATTCAAATTGACCAAACAGGCACTTTAACAACACTATAATCGCTTTTACTACCATTCAGTGTTACAGAATGACGTTTATACCACAGACCGCTAAGGCCCGTTTTATACGTCGAATTTTGGTCGCATCGAAAGCAATGAAGACAATAGATAATGAAGCTTAATGAGGTTTATCATCTCATTTTCTGTTGTCGACGCGACCAAAATCCGACGTATAAAACAAACCTAACCGCAAACAGTAATCTTCAAATCGCTTTTGAAGGCACGTTCTACAAGTTTTCGACAGTAGCTAATTCATGCTTCAATTCGAGTCACAAATTTCCTAATTATCTTGGAACAATTAACAGTTGACCTCAAAATACGTCTGTCGTAATAGATTGACGTTCACGGTAAACGTAGCAATGATTTAAGAAAGCAAATTAACCACTAGTCACGTATTCACCAAAGCAGTAATTTAGGCCTGTTTTATACGTCGAATTTTGGTCGCGTCAAATGCAATTAAGACAATAGATAATGAGATGATAAACCGCATTAATTATTGTTTGAATTGCATTCGACGCTACCGAAATTCAACGTATAAAACAGGCCTAAGGGGCTGTTTATATGAGGCGAGCCAGCTTGGGTACCCGAGCTAGCTCGCTTTAGGTGGGATCCCGTCTTTGTTAATTAATATTTCCTACTAAATTTCATGTTGCGTTTATATGAGAACCGTGCTGGCCCGCCTAACCGAGGTCCCGCTTCGTGTGACCCGAGATCTCGGGTAAACGAGCTGGGTAGTTTCCCATATAAACGCAACAGGGAGGGCTAGCCCTCCTAGTAGGGCTGGAAATTTAGCAAATACGCATGCGCAAATAATTAGAATAATTCGGAATGCACAAACAACTCCCACATGAGGAACCAACTTCCATATATGGAGTTGTTTACGCCAAAAAAATTAGAACACGAAGAGCCAGCCCTTGATGTAAGTTTCATGTAAACGCGTGGTGAAATTCATTTCGGGGATGCGAGCCAGCTCGGGTACCCGGGCTGGCTTGCATCCATATAAACAGGCCCGAAGATCTGGCGTTTGAAGTTGACGTTTGGCGTATCAATTTTATGCTTTAACTGCTACGAGGGCTTGTAGTCGTTAAGGCCAATGGAACTGTAGATTCTGTTTACCGTTCGAGAATTTAAAAAATCTGATGCGGGTTTTTTTCATTATTCATTTTTCATTATTTTTGTTATTATCTATTTTCCGACCAAAAATGATTCTTAAATCGTTTTCTTTTGATCTCGATCATCAACACTTATGTCCACCATTCTTTTATCATTCTTGGCCTTTTCTTTGCTGAAAATGTCTTTGTTACGCCATTGTTTTCGAATTTGCACATGTCAGACTCGCGAATTTCCAAGTGTACCGAACAAATGCCGACTGATCCATCATACATCAGCGATGTACGGCTTTTTATATCGAAAATTTGATGATTTGATGTATATTTGAAAGTTTCGATGCGTAGAATTAAAAATAATGACGAATAATGAAAATAATTAAGAATAATGAAAAATTCTTGCGGTAGTTTCAAGTACATGCGGGCGGTGGACGGTAAACCGAATCTACAGTTCCATTGGCCTAAAGTATGAAATTTGTACGTCAAACGTAACCTTCAAACGCTAAATCTTAGTTTACTGCTTTGGTGAATACATGATTAGTGGACAGTGGTTAATTTAATTGTTTTTGTTTGTGGAAACACCACGTAAATTTATTACTGCAAAGCTTTCGATCCGTAAGCCCGGATCTTCGTCAGTGCTAATAATGTGACTTGTTTAATTCACACGCTCCTTTTATATACAAGAGTGTCGTGATCTGTTGGCTCGCGTCATTTGAAATTTAATTAAACGGCACATCAACCACGTCATTTCAAACGTAATGAAGTGATTCCAATTAACGCGCGCATCCAAGACAAGAGAAATTAATTTTGCACATTAAAGAGAGCACGCCACGTACTATCTAGTGGCTTTCCCTCCTGATCTATATTATTGTGCTTCTCGATTTCAATTGACTCTCTCATTTTGCGAGAGAACTTATGACTATCAATCGCCAAAATGGTTGCTTCGTCCCATTTTATACGATGGTCGTAAGTCCAAGTACAGTATGTTTAGCCACAGCAGATTTATCTTGCTCGGCTTTCTCGCAATTCGTCTTGTGTTCCTTAAGACGTACTGAGAGATTTCGACCAGTTTCACCAATGTAAACCAGACCACATTCACAAGGAATGCGGTACACACCAGGTTTCTGATATTCATTTACGTTGTCCTTATGTGTGCATAGAGCTCGAAACAATTTGTTTTCGCTGGAATGGTATACCTTTATACCTGCTTCATTCCTCAAAATTCTTTCGATTTTGTGTGAAGCCGGACCAATGTATGGTAGACAAACAGACGATTGATATTCAATCTTCTGCTGTATACTTTGTGGCGTTTTCATAGCATTATCTATGAAATGCCGTGGGTAACCATTCATTTTTAGAACATTTCTTAAGTGTTCTAATTCATCGTCAATGTTACTTACCTCACAAATTGTTTTCGCTCGGTTGATGAGTGTCTTGCACACAGAGTTTTTAATACTAGGATGATGAAATGAATTATAATGCAGATACCTGTCTGTATGTGTTGGTTTCCTATAAACCTTATGTCCTAGCGACCCATCATCATGTATAGTGAAAAGAACATCTAAGAACGGTATAGTTTTATCATCCTTCTGTACTTCAAAAGTAAACTTGATCGGATGGATGCAAACTATTAATGTGGTCTAGAAACTTTTGTAAATTATCTAGTCCATGAGACCAGCTACTCAATGTATCATCCACGTATCTGAACCAGAAACCTGGTTTCAACTTTGCAGTAGCTAAGGCCTTCTTTTCAAATTCCTCCATGAACAAATTAGCCATAACAGGCGACAATGGACTTCTCATTGGAGCGCCGTTTGTTTGTTCATAGAATTTCTCCCGCCATTGAAAACATGTCGTGGTCAAACATAGTTTCAACAAATCATGAACATTCTCAGGAGAAAGATTAGTTCTTTGAGATAATGTAATATCTGAAAGAAGTCTTTCTTTCGCGATATTACATGCCTCTTCAACTGGAACATTAGTGAACAAGCTAACTACGTCAAAACTTACCAGAATATCATTCTTACCCAATCTAATTTGTTCCATTTTTGTTACAAATTCTTTAGAATTTACTACATGATGATCTGTTTTTCCAACAACTGGTTTCAATATCTCAGCGAGATATTTAGCCAGGGCATACGTTGGCGAACCTATGGACGCTACAACAGGTCTTAGTGGGACATTAGGTTTATGTATCTTGGGTATCATTGTGAATGTGGTCTGGTTTACATTGGTGAAACTGGTCGAAATCTCTCAGTACGTCTTAAGGAACACAAGACGAATTGCGAGAAAGCCGAGCAAGATAAATCTGCTGTGGCTAAACATACTTGGACTTACGACCATCGTATAAAATGGGACGAGGCAACCATTTTGGCGATTGATAGTCATAAGTTCTCTCGCAAAATGAGAGAGTCAATTGAAATCGAGAAGCACAATACTATAGATCAGGAGGGAAAGCCACTAGATAGTACGTGACGTGTTCTCTTTAATGTGCAAAATTAATTTCTCTTGTCTTGGATGCGCGCGCGTTAATTGGAATCACTTCACTACGTTTGAAATGACGTGGTTGATATGCCGTTTAATTAAATTTCAAATGACGCGAGCCAACAGATCACGACACTTTTGTATATAAAAAAGCGTGTGAATTAAACAAGTCACATATTATTAGCACTGATGAAGATCCGGGCTTACGGATCGAATGCTTTGCAGTAATAAATTTACGTGGTGTTTCCACAAACAAAACTATTAATATAAACTCTACATTTCCATTCAAAAAAGTTTGAAAGATGCAAAATTTGGGCAATGTTTATATCTGGGCGTCCCCCTTTGTTATGAGCAGAACTGATGTGCAGAACGGAGTGGAAATCATCTTTAACATTTAAGCTAAGAACACTGTACGTCAAAAATATCGATATGCTAATTTTGCATTGACAAGCAGAAGACTTTAATACAACACGAAATTTTGCGGTGTAGTTACTGTATGTCTTCTGTGTTTGTTGCATTTAATATTGTTGTATCGTGCATGTGCATTCATTTGTTATAATTACGCTTTTTACTGTCAACTGACATTTTGCATTTTTTTGCTAAAAAAAATATTGCATTTCACCATAAATTTTGTTTAATTCCTATTCCCTGATTCCATAAGACAACGCGGAGCATCAATATAATCAGAGTTGATATTCCACTCCGTGGCCATGTTGTGAAAGCACACTTACAAACGTGCAGTGCATTCTGGGTCATAGAAGTCAAAATCGCGACCCTGGAAACAAAACCAAGGTGAAAAGTAGACCCGAGCTCCACTTCGCTGGAGCACTAGTAAAAATAGATATTTTTATATATTAAATCTCTCTGAATACAAATCTGAAAAGTCAGTGATGATCGAAATCTTTTGCAATGGCACAAATTGACCATTTGCGTAATAGACTAAATTTTGATCTAGACTAAAATTTTATCACAGCTTGAAAGAGCATCACAAAATTAGTAATATTCCAAAGTTTCGTTGCGAAATGTTGTAAAATGCGGATAATATAGCCTTGCGAAGTTTGCAATTTGCTGTCAATTTCCCGTTTCTAATCTATAAAATGACTGAAAATTGCAAATTTCGAAAGGCTATATTATCCGCATTTTACAACATTTCACAACGAAACTTTGGAATATTACTAATTTTGTGATGCTCTTTCAAGCTAGACTTGTTTAGATCAAAATTTAGTCTATTATGCAAATGGTCAATTGGTATTATTAATAGCTAAATACTTATTCCTCAGCAAGTATCACACTGGAACAGTTCACTTCTGGTTCCTTTTGAAGTAAACAATGAACAAGAATACAAACATGATTTTCAAAAGATTCTCCATCGTTACTGTGATAATTCTGGCTGCATAGTGAGAGAGATTTAACAACAGCTTTTGAAATGCCACAAGCATGGATTCATCATTTTTTTGTTAATTTAATAGGGTGAGGCGGTTTTTCGGTAAACCGAAAACCCGATGTTTTTTGAAAACCGAAATACTCGATGTTACTTTTGGAGAAAAACCGAAAAAACGGGGGGAAATGGGAAAAAAAAACCAGAAGAAAAATAGATATTTTACTAAAATCAAACCATACTTATACGAGTTTGGACCTTTTACCTTATGAACAAAATTTTGATCTACACAAGTCTAGAAAAAATCACGACTTGAAAGAGCATCACAAAATTAGTAATATTCCGATGTTTCGTTGCGAAATGTTGTAAAATGCGGATAATATAGCCCTGCGAAGTTTGCCGTTTTTCAGTCATTTTGTATTACACACGGGAAATTGATACCTTTTTTCCGAAAGCGGTATCAAGTTCCCGTGCATATTCAAAATGACTGAAAAACGGCAAACTTCGCAGTGCTATATTATCCGCATTTTCCAACATTTTGCAACGAAACTTTGGAATATTACTAATTTTGCGATGCTCTTTCCAGCTGTGAAATGTTTGTCTAGATCAAAATTTTGGGCATTAGGGAATAGGTCCATAAAAGACAAAGTTTTGTCTCCTTCACAGCTTGTCTCAAATGTTGTTTACCTTGATCCTTGCAAAACCCTATTAAGGAGGTATGACTCGAGGGCCACTAGGGAGAATACAATACTTTTTGTCATCGATAGTCCTTAGGCAACAAGTTAACCTATCAATTGGCAATAGATTGTCCGCTACTGTAAATAGCGATTCGAGAATCAGAACACAATTCTCATTGCACACCTCGTTATTCTATATAATTATTCTAATGTATTTACATTTAACCAGCCTGTAGAGTCCAAATCTGAGAAATTCTTGCAGATTCATTCAGCAGTTATTTTCTTGGATCTTTTAAATTTACTGTACATGATCTCTATTAGGGTTCTGTCAGCGACATCACCATACATGTGGGCAGGCCTCGGGAGTGGTTTGGCTGTTGCATTATCAGTTGTTGGTGCTGCATGGTAATATTTTTCAATTTAATTACTTTTGTGTACTGTACAATAATATTGTGGTTTTCAATCATTTTCACTCTTTAAATCAGCTTTTTGCATGGTTAGTTTACCTAATTTGGTCACACCCACCATATCGTAAGTGGGAGTGTGTCGCTATCTCAATCCAGTATGGATTATAATGGTCGGCAATTGACTATTTGAGTGCGTACAATTTCCCGACTTTTAACTACAAACTTCCCCTGAATCTCGTATGCCTGGTAATGGCAATTTCAAGTTGCCCTGTAGATTTCATGCACAAGCTAACATTATGCCATAGTCACTACTACTAGGCACAGTCCATTGATTTACCTTTGGAAGGGGTCAGATTTCTCCACAAATGTTCTTTCTGAATAGCCAATTGTTTTTTGGGTAATGTTTTTTTTTGAAAATAAAATATGGTGGTAGTGGTCGTACACCACATTGCAGCAATAAATGTGTAAATGTTTTAAAAATTTTAGGGGAATTTTTACAACTGGTGCAAGCATTTTAGGTGCTGGTGTTAAAGCTCCCAGAATCAAAACGAGAAATCTTGTAAGCATTATATTCTGTGAGGCAGTTGCAATCTACGGCATCATCATGGCAATTGTACTGGTTCAAAAAATTGAGGTATTGTATCTATATGTTTATACATACTGTAAAATAATGTACCCTCAAGCTATTACTCTACTTTATTTAAAGCCGCCTCTCTTAAGGTACCGTCACTTGCAACTAAGGATGAACGGTCGCTCATAAAAACATTGCCTATTCGCGTGGGAATCTTCAATGCTTGTCAAGAGCACTTGACAGGTTTTAATCTGATCAGTCAATCACGTTCAACCAGCTCCAAGCTGATTGGCTGAGCGAATTGAAACCATCAAATGATCATCACAAACATTGAACTTTCTCGGTAAAAACATTGAACTTTGTCATGAGAATAGACAATGTTTTATCTGCGACCATTCATCCTTAGGGTTCCCAAATGAATTTGCAGTAACAGGCATTTTGAAAGAAGTAGGCGGGTATGTGGTGTTGGGTTTGAGGGCGTCTCCCTGTGGAGTGTTTGAAATTTAGACCATCTGAAATGGCATTTTCAGCCATTTTTGGAGAGTAGTTTTGGAGATTTTGTCATATCCAAATATTTAGATATTAAGCATATCATTTAGATTGTAGAATTTATATGTTATAAAACAGGGACGAAATTTAAATTGTTTTGTACTATATAGCCGGAAGGTCCGGAATAGTAGATTTTTATATTTACTATTCCGTCTGAAAATCCACTATTCCTTAATGTACTGTTTCTGTTCATGCAGGGTCCGCGCTAATGTTCTGATTTTCGTGAAATCATCCTTGAGACTCCTAAAGTGAACTGAATAATTGAATAACAAAAAATAAACATGTACAGTGCATTGCTCTGTACAGTCATGAAAAATTATTAATAAAAAACAAAGTTCAAACACTGAAATGAACTTGCGAACTTTGTTGCGAAGTTCGCGCCCAATTTCCGAACTTGGAAACGTAATTGGCAAGTTCGCAACGAACTTGGGCACCGCGCGTTGAAAAGTGACTTGAAATCAACAATAATATTGGTGCAAAGAAATTAGAACATGCAAGTATTGCAAGCGAACAAGAACTTAGCTACGAAGTGGAACAGTGGCTCAAAGTCCGGTATAAAGTGATATATTATACAAGAGGATAACTCTTGCTTGTCGATATATGGTACCACAATTTTTTCTACTATACAAACGGAATACTGTGATCATCAAGTTTACTATTCCGTCAGGCATTTTAGTATATTCGGAATAGCGGGAATTTCGACCCCTGTAAAAGCAAGAAACCTTTCCCTTGACATTTTCTGGTCAGGAGGAAATGTTTTAGCAGCCACATTTTCAGTTGTCATGACTTAGCCTTGTGAGAACAAATACAAACGAAAACCATAAATATGATAGAGTCATTGTGACTAGTAAATTTTGTCAAACTATTTGATCAGTCAAACACCCTGTTTAGTATTGCCCTACGTTAAACTATTACAGTATCTTAAGTTATTTTATTGTTTAACAATGATTTTTCACTGCGTATTTTAGGCTGGCGATTATACAAATTTGGATGAAGAGAAGACGAGACGTATTTATGGTGCAGGTACGTTTTCGATTCACTAAACAAAGTGTTATGATCATTTAATAATTTGAAATAATTTGCCATTATGCAGAGTAGTGTATCTGAAGCACCAACATTTTATTACATATTATTATACTTTGTTATATACCTGTTCCCAGTAAACTGCGAAACAACGGCGGTTTGTCAAGGCCCGTTTACACTACGCTCACATTGAACATTGAACATTGAACATTTATTTAAACACGGTAAAATCTTCAGTGTAGAATAAAATACAAAAACTATTAATAAATTTCACACATCACTATATACACACTAATTTCCTAACTAAAATGCACTGTTTTCCAAGATT